TGGACTGAGACCTGTCCAGGTGTCCCTGTGATGGACTGAGACCTGTCTAGGTGTCCCTGTGATGGACTGAGACCTGTCCAGGTGTCCCTGTGATGGACTGGAAACCTGTCCAGGTGTCCCTGTGATGGACTGGAGACCTATCCAGGTGTCCCTGTGATGGACTGAGACCTGTCCAGGTGTCCCTGTGATGGACTGAGACCTGTCCAGGGTGTCCCCGCTCCTCGCACAGTGATTGCTGGACATGGACACCAGTGACGCTCGCGACCCAAAAAGGAAGAAGCGGGTAAAAAAAAATAATGGATGGAATTATTTGTTGAGGAACATGAGCCAACATTACATATCAATCAATCAATCAATCAATCAATCAACCTTTATTTAGACAGGTAAATCCCACTGAGCCTCGAGGACTCATTTACAAGAGAGACCTGATTTATCTGGCATATCTGTGAGAGATAAATTATGTGAACCTCTGGGATTATCATTAATTTGAAGGTGAAATCAGAGTCAGGTGTTTCCTTCAATGGGATGATGATCAGGTGTGAGTGACACCCTGTTAGATTTAAAGAACAGGATCTAACCAGGGCTTAATTTGTAAACTTATCAATGCCAGAACATAAATGGTGGGGGGCGATGGGGGTGTGTGTGGGGGAGGGCGGGGTGCGCGGGGCGATTGTAGGTGCTCCTCCCCCTTACATTTTTGAATAAAGTGCTATTTCCTGCATTTAGGTGTAGCCTGTTTCAACGAGTTGTTAAACATCTACGTTTACCTTGATTTGTAAACACTTGATTAATTTATTATTTCAGAGAGCGACATCAGGTTGTGTGTGAACAGAGCAGCTCCCATTCTGTCAACCGTCCTAATTAACCTCTGCAAACAGACAATTGTCTGTACCTCAGTGAATTTGACACACGAGCTCTCAGTCGAACTTTGCTTTGAACTTCCTGCCTGTTCGTCAAATATCTCATAAACAGGTCCTGTCCGCTAATTCAATTTGTCATAGATGGGGATTGAGTCTCTGCTACTACCACACTAAGTTTTAGCTCAGCATCAGTAAACCTAACTGTATTGTAGCTTATTTTGTTAACGATGCAGGCAAAAGCCCACACACAAACTGAAGGTGTAGATCTTTACCTGTTGCTGGTCAATGTGTGTCCTGCGGGTCTTATTCCGGAGTCCGGACCCCCAGGCCCCATCTCCAGCCGTGGAGGCTCCCAGTTCAACTCTCCCTCAGAAGCGGTAACCCACACACTATCAATATTTCAAGTAAACGTCAATTAAGTTTTATCAATTATATTAAATCGAGGCAGGAAAAAGTTACAGTTTACAGCACTGGCCTCTCCTTTACAATTTGACGCGAGCAGGAGCAGGAAGGGCCGATGTCCCATGTCATTACACATTTATAGGGTCCTAGACTCCTCCTTTGCAGAAGGGGAGCTCAACCTGTCAGTCTATGAGGGGGCATGACTTAAGCCCCCAGTATACTGCGGTGTACGTCCATACGCAGAGGTACGCATGTACGTACGCAGAGGTACGTGCGTACCCCCCAGCGTACCCTCCGTGCAAAGCTCAAATTTTTACGACCGCATACGAGTACGTGGTGTCGCACAATAAACTGCCCAGCGACGGACTGTTTTGTATGTGACACCAATGTATTAAATTCCCCTTCTTCATCCCTGATCTGGCCTTTTCTTTTGTTTTTTTGCCAAGAGGCAGTGATCTCTTCCTCCTCCGTTGATGCCATGACTGAAATGGTGAGAAATTAAGGAATTTGTCACGAGCGAATTAAACTCAGGTCCAGCATGGCTGCGGGAGGGTCTGGAGATTTCCTGGTGGGCTGGTCTGATGTGTGGGCTGTAGAGCCAGCGCTCCCTGTTTTTTTTTTTTTTTTTTAGATCTTTTTATTAACAACTTATAAACACAGAACACAGTTGCATGAGGCTGCCAGCACTCGCTTTTTTTTCCCCCCGACCTGTCAATCAATCCAACAGGCGTGTCAGCAAATGACCAATCAGCGACCTCAATTTGTCCCGAAGGTAAACGCCCCTTGTCTGTGAAGCTGCTCTGCAGCTGCTCGGGATGTACGCTGGAGTATCATGTCTGAACCCTCTGCGTACAGTACACGCGTACGTACGCATGAACGGACGTACGCGGCAGTATACTGGAGCCTTAAGTGTGATCTCAGTGGATCTTTTGTGGTTCTGATGTGTTAGGAAATATGAGACGGTGCTTCAAAAGCCTTTCTACGTGATGTAGCAACTTCAAGCAGATTAAACTCTATTCCTTGACAGATATTGAATCCCAGGGAGACTCTTTTTGGACTTGCTGGCCCAGTTTAACCCAGTCAGAACCGGGTCATAATTTCGTTATAATCCCGTCTCTGAGCAGATCAAAAACCCCAGGACCAGTCTAGATCTATCTAATATCTAACAGTTGAGCTTCACCTCCAGCACCTCCTGCTCAGATTTGTTTTTCTGATAACAAAAATTAAACAAATGATTTAGTTTGAACTGCACCAATAATCCACATTTGACACAATAATATTCTTTATAATGTTCAGAACACATCTGCTTCCTGCCGTTTATCACCGAGGATTAAAGAATGATCTCCGTGTCTCTCAGCCTACCATCTTTAAGCATTCATTTGAATTCATATTTTGATATCTGATCTGTTTTGTGTTGCATCAACTTAACCAGGGTCAAGTCACTCATTCATAATCCATCCCTTAACTTGTAAATATGCATATTTGTCATTTTATGAGGCAGGATTTCATTTCTCATGATATTTCAGGGCTTAGTGAGACTGAGCTAAGACTAATTTATCATATCATTATTTATGTTGAGAGTGGGGAGTAGTGGTGCAGAGGTTAGAGAAGGTGAACCTGTGATAGGATGACCGTTTGTTCGACTCCACTGGCCGACAACATCAAAATGTTGGTGGGACAGGTGGAGCACCCACACCTGCCTCCACCCTCATTTGCTCCACTCATGGGCCCTTGAGCAAGGCCCTTCCCCCCCCCCCCCCCCCATGAGCGCCCTAGATAGCAGCTCTCTGCTCCACACAGAGGGCTGTGGTAGCTCGGTGGTCTGTGGTTGTGTCAGGAAGGTCATCCGGTGTAAAAGCAGTCGCCAAGTCTTCATGTGAGTTTGTTCACTGTGGCGACCCCTGAAGAAGGAGCAGCCGAAAGAAAATATTTATGTTGATGCCTCCATTGTTTATTGCTACATTATTATCCTGCAGAGTTTGGCCGCTAACATGAAGCACTTCTTTTCTGTCCACCTATAGGATGGAGGTGAAGGAGCTCCCAGCTGGTCCACACACTCAACGTGCAGTTGTCTGCTGCTGCAGTCTGCCTGATTCAGGAGGTCACGATGTCATCAGCCGCTCCACACAGAAACCCCTCAGGAGTGAGAGGGACCAAACGCACCACAGCCTTCTCATGCCTGCCTGATTCCAACACACAGCTGATGGTTAGTCCTGGTCCACCAGAAGACAGCGACACAGACCTGTCAGAGTCAGAAAGGTGCCTAGAGTACTCCTCCTGCCGAGTGCCTCCACACCTGGAGCTAAGGTCCGAGGTCATTGAGGATGAGGAGTCCATTTCTTACAGAGCCAGAGGACGGGACCGTGGCAGGTTGGCCTTTCCAGATTTCCTCCCTCCTCCTTTTAATTCCTGGAACCTGAGTCAGCTGGCTGTTTTCTACAACATGGAGGGCAGAGCGGCTCCTTGGCCCCGGTCCAACAGCCCTCTAGAGCGGTACCTTCAGAAGCTGCTACAACTGGAGTGGCATCAACTGCAGACCATCCAAGAAGAGCGTGGGCAGCTGCACGTGTCAGAAGTGACCTCCAGCTGTCCCAGGTCTGTTGTCTCACGCCTCAGCTCTCCGAAGTGTATCCTCCAATGCCAGCGTGCCTTCCCCCTCACCTTCCTGTCACCGCTGGTCAGTCACCCCACACTGCTCTCCAGCTGTGCCTACACTCCCTGCTCGACCTGCTCCTATGCCCGCAGAGTAGCGTGTTGCCGTGAGTCCAGGCTGAGCCCCCCACGGCAAAGCAGAGTTGTCACATCAGTTACCAAAAGGAGTTGCAGTGAAAACCGGGTGCACTCCTCAGATCGCATCCCAGGATCTCAACGGTTGAGCAGCCCTTCCAGGACCAGCATCTACCTTAGGAGAATGCAGGCATCAGGAAACATACGCAACCCTGTCCAAGGTGCTGCAAGCAGGTCACTTTCTGCTGCCCCCAAGTCCAGGGGCCACAGTGAGGAAGGACATATGTTGGACTGCAGCACAGGAGAGTTCAGGAGGAGGAGTGGCTCTGAGCAGAGGGTCAGTGGACCCAAGAGACAGCAGAACCGGTCAGAAAACAGACAAAGCAGCTCTGAGTGTAGGAAAGGAAGAGCTGAACAACGCAGAGCAGCCGACTTGAAAAATAAACAAGTCAAACTAGACGCTGTCCCTGCAATCCTAGTCAAGTTTCCCAGGTCCAAACATTCTCAAATCACAGGACTAAGCAGGTCCAAAGCTGTTGAATTTGTTCTGTAGCAGCAGGTTTAGAGTTGTTGTTTTATGGAGTGCACACACATTGTCTTCACGTCATGAATGTAGACGTTAAGCTTTCTTTCATATCATGTCAACTTGCATCATACAGGACAACAAATGAACATTTCATCTGGTGCTTCAATCAGAGCCTGGACTACACCTGACCATCTGAAACTACACCTGGTCATCTGAAACTACA